AACAATGTAGTATCGGTTTATAACTTACCATCAAATTCCTGTTGCGTTTATAAGTTATAAGGATATTAGCTGTCAGGCAAGCTCTTAATTAGTATGATACTGCTTTCTCGAGAACTCTAAAATCCACAAGGAGTAGAAAGATGGAGAGTAATTACTCATTTCCTCTACACCATCATGTGAAAACAAGTGCTTTATCTCCGTGCTTGCAGGGTAGTGGGGAGGTACTATGACTACCGTTAAAAATGATTTTCAAGCAGTAGGCAATTGCAGGCTTTTCTGACTGAGCCTAAAAGCAATGCCATCCATCCACCTCTGCAGCATTCGTTTGGCATATCTGTTATGGGCCTTGTCCCAGTTATGTTCTGTTGAGGCAGAGGCAGGCGATTGCTCACAAGTGCGAAGGCGTTGAGATGTCTGTTACGAATGCAATTTCGGCAGATGTTTGTTTGGTGTTTTGGTTGGTTGGTGTTTGTCCGTTTGAGCTCATTTTTAAAGTAATCTGTTTTTACATAATGAATTCGTGCTTTGACGCTTCTTTTTCACCTTCAGCCCGAAGGACTATGTCAAACTTGTTTACTTTGAGAGTGTTGTATTATTTCTATCAGTTACGACTCCCTTGATGTCGATGATATCTTGGTGTCCGCGGAGCAAGGGGCGGGGCATGTGTGCTGTTTTAAACTCGTCCGTGAGAATATTTATTTATTTGTCAACGTCATCTGTTGATAAAATCTGACAGAATTGCTTGGTCGGCAGTGATACTGGGGATCGCAGTGTGTCAAATCATGGAAGTTTTTAATGCTAGATGACACTGACTTCTTTATATCTGAAGTCATAGTTAAGAATTTGTGGTTGAGGGATTTAGCAATAGACAACGGCGAAAGGGGTGTGTCTGTTTCATATAATAATTTGATGTGGGTGAGTTTTCTGCGGCCTGTAGGTTTGTTTATATGTTTTGATTTTTTTTTTTTTAATGATGGCAGTTTTTTTGCATTGCATTTGATCTATTCGGTTTGTCCTTTAACTCACTTATAATGAAATGGGGGTTTCTCTTTATCCTGCGCTGACGTGGTCTACACGCAATGGTGGAGAAAGGAGACCTACTGTATCTGTTCGGTTTGTCAGATCTCTATATGTTTTCTTCTTTTCTTTTTCATATACCTTTAGGGGAAAATTTATTTTGTCGGGGTTACTTTTACAATATGTAAAATCCGTCATCACATCAGTAAGCATGGAAATTTTTAACGTTAATGACACTGCTTGGCATTCCTGGTGGAGGAAGGTGTCCCTCCATAAAGATCATTTGACTTTTTTCAGAGAACCCGAGGAGAGGCTGCATTCTATTTGACTGCGTTGTCGTGCGATTTGACCGCAGGTCTTGCTGACCGTTTGGCGGCGTCAAGCAGTCTGATTACCTTGTGCTTGTCTCTGTTGGGGAATGCCTTAACACTAATCCATACAATTGGATCTGTGAATAATCCGGGTTGTATTTCTTTAAATCTTAAAATTACTGTGGATTTCAGGAACTAGGTGTCAGCTTTGTTTCATATGAATTCACTTTTGAAATGTATTTGAACGTGGTATGATTTAGCATACCACATGACGGCGCCCTGCACCTTGCAATGGTTATGACGTGCGACTTTCTCTTTCCTGTTTGTTTCTTGCTGTGCTTCCGCTCGTTCTGCGTAGTTGTCGATGGCGAGCTTTGGCGCTTGGAGCAGGGGAGGCAGGGGCTCGGGTGATCTGTCGCTCCATGCCAGGGGCGGCTGCGTGGAAGACTGAAATTCTTCGCGCTATCACTCGCGCAGACCCTCCGCCTCTCACACCGGCTGTCGATGCTTCAGCGTCGCTGAGCAGAGCGCCTGAGTGGCTCCGGCCGGGGAGGGCTGGCGCGTCAGCAGGGTTGTGGGTCTGCTGACTCGGAGTGGGCGGAGAGGTGGGGAGGGAGTGGCACGGAAGGAGGGTGGTTGGTGTTGGATCTGTGGGGTTGAGGATAGTATACTCTGACAAGGAAACGGGATGCGAACAGGAAGAGTTGGCGGGTGGATTGGCCAAGGGCAGAGGATGGCGATGCCTCTCTCCGTTCTCCTGCTTTCGAGGAGGCGTCGCGCCTCGGCCAGTTGGTTGCAGTTTGGTGAGAATTTCGTTGATGATGGGCTCATGGTTCGTGGATTTTGTTTGTGGAAGAATTAAGTAAAGGGCGTGTAAATAACCGATTTTCTGGGTATCAGTGACCTACCTTTGGCGGGAGGGTCTGCCGCTGTTGCGTTTTCATTGTTCAGGCACTCAAAGTATGCACAATGACACTGCGCCTCGTGTCGAGTTCCATGGCTTTCTGGTCTGATGGATTCAGAATAATTTTGTGGGCATGGTCGATCTCTACTATTTTCTGATCTAGTTGCATAAGACCATGCCCATACATTCTTTGTCCCAATAAAGAGAGAGGGAGACAGAAGGGGGGGAAATATGCTTTACTATCTGAAATTCACTTAACATCCATAAG